GCACTTGATGGATCAACCTTCCAGAACTTCTGACCTTTTATAGGCTGCATCTTGTTTTTATATGTTAGCATGTATGCCTCCTTGCTATACCACCATTGTATTTCATTTATTGGATCTAGTTTTTTGTGTGTCAATGCTTTGATGGAATGAGGGCAAGGAATACCTGATAAATCCCAAACTCTGCAAGTGCATTTTTTTTTGCTTTAGATTGACAGTGTGTCTATCTTCTCCATCAGACACTTCATAGCCCCAATCTCCATTGAATTCCACCTTACAACCATATGCTATGGCCCTGTAGTCAATGTACAACTTCATGCATTCTGGACTGAAATCAGTAACCCAAGTCTTCAACTTTTTTTCATTTTTCCCTAGCAATCTCATCAGTTGTATTCTTATTTCTTCTAACATCTTGATTATTGGCTTTGCTCTAGCCTTAAGAATCCATGCATCGAATGACTAAGTTAGGTTGTTATCAACCATCATGTTCTTACACTAAGTATCAAAATAAGCTCTACACCCTGCCTTTGGTGGATACTTTACCAAATCCCTTGCACCATCTATTGATAATTTCCCGAACTTATTCAACTGGTCCTTGAACTCTTCATCATAGGAAATCTAAGCACACCACCACATAAGCTTCCTCATTTGACCACTCCTCCATCTTTTGCACAAGTTACTCTCAATATGTCTCACACAATACCTATGTTGAGCTTCGGGCAACACTTTGTCAACATCATCTATCAGTCTCTGTAACTGTGAAATAAAACAAATGAGAACATGAAATTTATGAGTATCTGATGGTTGAAAACAGTGAGTAAAAGTTGAGAATTAATGTGTGTTAAAAACAGTAAGTAAAAGTGTTTTTGGAATTGTTTGAAAGTGTGTAACAATGAATGTGTATTAAAAACAGTAAGTAAAAATTGAGTTAAAAACAACATCATACCTTTTGCATAGCTGAAATGAATGTGATTTTTGCACCATCTTTAAGGTCCAAAGACCCCTTCAATAGCTCAATGAACCAGCAGCATGTCCTGCTTGTTTCTTTGTCCATTATTCCCCATGCTAGTGGTAGAAACTGTTCATAGAATCTTGTCCTAGTGCAACTAACATCATACCCTTACATATACCTTTCAAGTATGTACCATCAAGTCCAATTAATGGCCTCAAACCAGATTTTCAGCCTTTTTTAAGAGCATCAAAACACATGTACATCCCCAAAATTTTTCTTTTTCCTTCAGCTAGGGTATCCTTAGAGATATTTATCAAAGCATCACTTCCGGGATTGGATTGCTTAAGCTCTTGTGCGTAGGCCTCAATCTTGTTGTAGTCATCCATAAAACTACCCTCCAACTTCTCAAGAGCCATCTTCTTAGCCCTTTTAAGTTTGGAATGACACACATTCAATTTCAAGTCATTTTCAAGCTCTCCTTTCATATCTTTTACCTTATACTTGGGATTATTTTGAAGCTTGTTCTTGAAGTACTGAGCTAAAGTAACTATATCAGCTCTAGCATTAAAAAAGGCCTCTTCACATGCGTGATTATTGATGAAAGTCTTAATCTTAAACCCTTCAGTTTTGCCATCTCTTGAAATCAAACACCTAAAGGGCATCCCACATCACAACCATACCTAGTTTTCTTTGTATCACCTTTGATTATAGTCAAAGCCCTTTTGTTAGCTAATGCATAATAATTCAGAAGCCTTCTACCTTATTTCATATCTTTAAATGTCATACCAACTTGCAATTCCTTGAAGTTTTCCAACCTGTCACCTACTACTCTTCCCATTTCCTTGCTAATGGCCTCCATCCACTCATAATCATATTCCTCACCCTCAGAAAGGTCCCATTCATAATCAGAACCATCACTATGTTCCATATCTATACCAACATCAACATCTACAAAACATAATTCAGAATATTGTGTGATATTTTGGGTAAAGACTGTGAGCTCACCCTCCTCCACAACAAAAAAGTTGACGACTTTAAATTTCTCACATAAAAAGCTAATGATTGCCCTAATTCCATCATCCCCATCTATTATATAATACTTTCCAGAGGGCCCAGTGTCTAACAATTATTTAACCCGAGAAAGCCCTAGCTTGGAAGTAAACTCATCACATATTTCTCTATGACTCAATAATTCAGGGTCAAAATTAAGCCAAGAGTGCACCAATTTATTAGTGTAAACCAACAGAGGTGAAATGACCTAACTACCCCCGGAGTTGAACATAATTTCAACTTCATCAATCATCCTTCAAAAATACATGAAAGAAACAGTAAAATCAAATGGACCACATCAAACCAAACACATTAAAAAGCTACAAAAATGTAATAAACTAAACCCTAAAAGACAAACATCATCTCGAGACCACCAAAAGAGAAACAAAACAAAGCTCACAAAGGCATAAAAGTACATCTTTTAACATTAAACAATACATTTCAAGTGATTTTGGTAGACACAAATCAAATACAACACATGCCTCACTAGGTCGACTTTATTTAGATAACCCTAACCTAACAAGAAAATGTAACAAAATCGAATATATAATTTACGAATATAGAAGACTTACCTTCAACTTGTAAATCTTCTAAGAACCCTAGAGCTGCAAGCTTCTTAAATCTTCTAAGAACTCTAGCGCCGCAAGCTTCGTAAATCTTCTAGAACCCTAGCGCCGCAAGCTTCTTTCAATGGAAATGGAGAAGTAATGGGTTAAAAGGGATGTGTTTTGGGTCGGGTCGGGTCGGATAGGTTATTTAAAAGAGCGGTGATTTATGGGTCGGATATGTCTTTTAAAGTGGGTCGGATAGTTTAGGGGAATAAGCGACCCCTTTCCCTTTTAATATAAATGCCATGTGGCAATATAAAAATGACGTGGCAATTTCATTTGACATTTAAAATAATGTAAAATGAGTTGGATATTTCCAGCAGGTTAACTAATGCCCATAAGGGAATATCAAGACGAAAAGTTGGACGGCGAGGGCATGATTGAGCCAAACTTTAAACGGGGGGTATATCTAGACCTTTTCGAATAGTTTAGGGGCATATTTGACCCTTTACCCATTAGAAAATGTCCCTCAAAGAAGTCTAGGAAGTCTTTAACATACCTTGAATGTCAAACACGTATCATGATCCTCAAGATTTTGCTTTTCCTTTCGTAAAGCTTTTGAATATTTTCAATCTATCAAATATGCATTATTCATAAGTAAATAAGTTCGTAGACACTTATATTGCTATACATCTAGCCTAGACCCCAAAATCACTCAAAAGTTGAATCTAGGCTCATAAGGACAAAATTAAAATTTTATTAAGACTAAATTACCCATATCATAGACTCCAAATTTATATCACATAAACTAATTATAAGAAGCAAATTGCTGGACCATTGTCTTGAAAACAAGCAGACACGAATAAGGAAAACACTCTTATTTATTATTAGAAAGAATAAGATCTGCCATTTATTTCTTTTATATATATCCTCAATTAATGATTAAACTAACCATCACCGAACTCTATACTATCCTACTAGCTCTAAGCAAATCCAACACCACTGTCCAGTCCATTTGATAACCCTTATCTATTATTATTATTATTATTATTATTTTGGGTGATAATCTTTATATAAGAATTGCCCAAGTGTTAAAGAAGGCAATGTTACAAAATTCAGGAAAGAGTTATAATTCCTAAATTCACAATTTCATTTTTCCTCAAACAAATGAATGGGTGCCGCCGCAGTATTTTTCTCTGTTCATTTGTGCTTTCACTCAAAATAATTTCAGCTCACTTAACTCTAATTTGTTCTTATACATAGGCCAGCGGACATAGAATATTAACTAACTTTCAGACCTAGCCCATTTGTTATTAATTAAATTAATTATAAAAGAAAAAAATCCATTTTCTAAATAACCGTAATTAACCGAATAGCTTAAAATTTTCATTTAAAATTTTACGAGAACAGTGAAAGTAGTTCTACTACTTAAAATAGCCTAACAGATCGTTACATCTATAATATCGCTGAACTCATAAACTCGTTTAGATATCAAAGTTTCTCTTTTCTCAAAATAATACTCTCTTTCTTCATGTAATAGAAATACTTAGTTCCCTTATACTCTTTCTCAAACTCCTCTTTACTTCCTCAAAACTCCGTTTAAACACAAACGTCGACTTTAAAAGATTCTTAAAAGTCATAACTCAAATAGGGTTCATGCTGAAATGTAAACATGAGCGGATCAACTCAAGGATATGAATAACAGTATATAAAACTCAGTACTCAGAACTCAACGATATTACTCATCTCAAGAATACTCCATTCATAGGGTTCATGCTGGAATATAGAGATGAACGAATCAACTCAAGAATCTTATTACATAACATATAGCACTTCAATAATTAGTAATAGAATTTCAAAAGGAATTAGGAACTCAAGAACTCAAAATCAACTCAATAAAAGCTTTGGAACTTTTCCATAACTCACTTTAGTTTTGAATGTGCATTAAGACATGTGATAGGAATATGTAGGAATTCTCAAAGGTAAATGGAGCCTATAGGAGCTAATACAGAGAAAGGAAAAGTAGTCACGACTTAAAGGAACACGTTCGGATGAAACACGGAAGAGATCGGCCAGGCACAAAACTTCAGCCCCAAGTTTGGGGTGCACTGCTGGTGCGGGGTGCCAAACCCCAAACTACTGGGTCTAGGCCTGGGCATAATATGGTTAAAACCGAAAAAATTGACTGAATCAAATTTTTTTAAATTTCGATTTCAATTTTTTGGTTATTTCGGTTTCAAATTTCAATAATTTGTTTTTTCTGTTTTTTAGCTCAAGAAAATCGGTTAACTGAAAAATTGAAATTATATATATATATTACACCCTTAATTAAATTACTTTAGTCTTCATCCCATGCTCCAGCCGGCCCATTACCCATAGCCCACAAATGTGGCCCAAATTCCAATCAAAATTGAAATTCCTAAAGTGAAAGACTGAAATCCCTAACTCCCATCTCTCAACTCTCGTCAGTCGTCTCTCAGCTCTCATCTCTCATCTCTCATCTCTTAGCTCGTCGTCCTTCGTCTCTTAAGTTCAGGCCAGCCGCTGCCCGCTGCCCAGTCCTCGCTGAGTGCTCGCATCCCGCAAGCCGCTTCTCATTGACCACTGCTCAGTGCTCGCTCGCGAGTCGCGCCTCGAAGGTCAGTGCTATCGCGTCCCAACTCTTATGTTAAATACTTATATTGAATTAGTCAACCTCATACCTTAAAATACAGACCACAAGACATTTAAAACCAGATCATATTTGAAACTTCATGGAATTTCAAATTTTTTTCTTTTTGCTGTTGTTAATGTATGATAATGTAGTGATATTCTCAAATGCACATTTATGTAGTTACTTTAAAAAGTATGAGAAAGCAAAACATGAAAGAACCTAAGTAGCCCTATCATATGAAAACAATTTCTTCTAGAGAATATGCAGATCATGGTACTATTAAAGTGTAAAACTTGTCTATCCTAGTTCCTAGGACTGTTTTCAGATTCCCTTCGGTCTTCAAATCCGAATTGTCATCTCATGTTACAACATTGAGGCCAGCCTAGCTGTTGTAATTTGTTCCACATACAAATCATTTGGTAAATTAGGATGTGTTGCACTTTTGGTATATGTATAACTTGTGAATTCTATTGATGTAATACCAAACATAAGGATTCATTATTTGCTATTGCTATGGCCTATGAAGATTCATATTCAGTTGATAGATACATATACATCCTCATCCTTTGGATGCAGTCTGTTGGTGTGTTGTACTGTTGCATTTGCTGCTGCTGGTAGGTATTACTTTTAGTGTGTAATTAGTAATGTGTTGGAAGTTAGCTTAGCTTGTTTGGTGTTATAAGTTATAACTATAATAATGCTCTTTGTTTGTTTTTGGGTTCCTTGTATCTGGAAAAAAAAGTGAGACGTACTTAAAACATAAAAATATATATTGATGTGAATGAAGTTCTATATATAATACACGCATTTAAAGATGCAGTTTATCATGTAGTTGAAGTTTCCTTGTAAAGTGGACGGTTGTTGAGTAGTTATGAAACTGCTCTAATTTTTTACTTCTGTAATACTGATATATTTATACAACAGCCTAAAAATATATATTGATGTGTATATACATCAAATATGAAGACTCCTACTATAAAAAATTCCTAGATTAAATGGTTTTAAAAAAACAGTCTTTACAAATTTATAAATTGAACTTTTAAAAAATAAAATCTAGACCTTTGATGACTTTTGTCAATGTTTATATAACTGTTGGTTTTTTTTAAAGTGTATAAATTAATTTGTTTTAAAATAGTAATTTTGTATGTAAATTGATGACTTTTGTCAGAGTTAGTGTTTGTGTAAATCGAGGACTTTTGTCACTATTTATATAACTGCCGTTTTATTTTTTATTTTTAAAAAGTGTATAAATTTTTTTTTTTAAAATAGTAAATATGTCCTAGATTATATTTCAAAAAATAATAATCTATTTAACGTTCATTGAAGAGGAGTTAAATAACCAATTGATCTTTATTTGACATGTGTATTTTTATTTCAAATTTTGAATTTAGAATATTTAATTAATTATATAATATTTAATTATTTATAATTTAAAATTTTGAAAATTTGTAGTGCTGATATGTGTCGTTTTTTCTTCTCCTATTATATATAGATAGATTTAGATTTAGATTTAGATTTAGATTTAGATTAAGATTAAGATTAAGATTATGATTAAGATTAAGATTAAGATGATTATTATTATTATTATTATTAATAATAATAATAATAATAATAATAAGAGAAAATGGCCAAAACCCTCCCCAACCTATAGCCGGATTTCTAACTACACACTCATACTTCACGGGGGTCCTATTAGCCCCCTGAATTATTTTAAAATGAAATAAGTAGCCCCTTAAAACGTCATACCCAGATATGTGTCTTGTGGTGAAACACACGCGCTTGACACGTGTTTTCACCTGTAGATCTTTTTTTAAAAGACATTTTTTTTCTCTTTCTTCTTCAACCTTTCTTCTTCATTCATTTTTTAGCCCTAATTAATTTTTGAGAACTTTGATTTGGAGAAAATATTGGGGGTTAAATTGGGGGGTCTCTTTTGTCTTCTCCAGAGGGATATGTCGTCGCCGTCGGCATAGTCTTGAGAATTTCGCTACCACCACCATCTCCATCTATGTCTCTGTTATTTATCCGCCTTCACCATTAGCTCCTCCACCTACTCAAAGAGGTCCCGTCATTTCTTTCAAAGAATAAAGCTCGAAAAAGAGAACGTTCACACCACCACCAAGACCACTATGAGTCTAATTAATGTTTGTGGGTATTTTCATAATTTTATAAGTCTATACGATGGAGTTTTTATAATCAAGAGAAGGTAATTGCTTGTCGAGAATCTAGAAAACAAACTAAAAAACACATGAGGGATTTAGATCTACATGTAATTTTTTTTTCTTTTTTAGGGTACAATTGCATTTGAATCCAGATTGATTTTTCAAATTTGATTCAAATTATTTTTTGGTGATTGGAGATGGTGGATTTGATTGTTTTTTTCAAAATTTTTGCATGAGAGTTGTTAGAAATTTACAATAATGAAATCGGTGAAGATGGCGGTAATGGCGCGGCGATTTTAGGATGATAAGGGTGGAGAGATTTGACATATGCTACCATGGGGAAGAAAGAAATTAATTTAAAAAAAAATAATAATTAAAAATACAAATATTTATGAAATAACATATTTAAAACAAAATTTTAATATTGTTTTGGCTGCTCACTCTCTCAAAGAGAGTGAAATACACTCACTTTGCCATGCAAGCATTTAGAGAGGTAATAATTTCAATTTTATAAAATTCACGGGTAATAGGACCTCCGTAAAGTATGAGTGTGTAGTTAAAAATTCGGCTATAGATTGGAGGGGCTTTTGACCATTTTCTCTAATAATAATAATAATAATAATGACAGTTTTGATATTTTTTCACAGCTTAAAAATCATTTAAGTTTGAGGGATGATTACTTTCCTATCCCTTATAATATTTTCCTAATTCCAACAATACCCTCACTATCTAAGCCCTAATCTTTTCCGCTTTTCTTCATTCTTCACTGTCTCTCTTCTTTTCTCCATCTTTGCGATTCTTGGAGTTTGCTCAGAGATTTCATTCTCATATCAAGCTTCTGGTAAGTTCTTCTCCATCAATTCAATCTCTCCATTTCGGAATATACATTATTCTTGAACCTTTTACTTGTTTATTTACTATTATTTCTGCTCCAAATAGACGAGTGAATGAATCATTGCTTTTATTTCTGTTTTTTTTCAGTGAATTGTTGCATAAAAATAGGGTTTTGTGTAAAATTATTGCATAAAAATCAGATAACTGATGTTGCTGGATTTGGGATTAAAAACAGTAAAAGTTTCGCCTTTCTTTAGAGAATGATTGAAACTAGTTTAGGACGAAGTAATGCCTCAAAAAGTACTAACATCTCACCAATTTGTAGTACCATTAATACAATTAAAACCCAGAAAAAAAATCCCCAAACTTAATCCAAAATGTATATAATGATGTAATCTTTTTAGCTCAATGGGTATAAAATTTGGATCTTTTCTTGAAGGCTGAGAGACTGATGTGAAGATTCATACTTGCTAGCATAAGACATAGTAGAAAGATGAATTGATAACTGCTACTGTCGATGGTTGTTCTCTGCTTTCTTTGAGGATACAATGCTCTCTGGTTTACTAGTGTTTATGGTTTTTCTTTTCTCTCTTTTCCCCCTCTTAGTTTTTTCTTTTAGCTTCTTCTCTGTCTATTTTTTTCTTCTTAAGAGAATGTAAAAAAATACAAGTTACTTCTAAAAGTGATTTTCCTAACTAGTCATAGGAAATCGTATCCTCCTATATACTCCTTTTGTTCACTTGTACTTGTCATATTTCACTTCGTGAGAATCAATTTGACTAATTTTTAGAGTTAAATTCAATTAGATTAATTCTATATTTGAAATATTTGAAATGTTAAAATTTAGATGTTCGAAAACTATACGAGAAATACTACAAGTTGTAATCCTTCTTATATTCATATGTTGATGAAAACTACATCTTTAAATGTTGGTCAAAATGCATGTAGTTTGACTTTCGAGAAGCGAGGAGGGAGTATAAAGTTATAACCAAGGTTGCAAACTTGCAATTCAATTTCTTTTACATCAATTTTTTCTTTTATATTTTTGTCTTTTTGATGTTTTTAGTTTTTTTTGAAAAAAAAGTTTGTCAAGTTGATTCTTTAATCATGAATGACTTGTTATTCTAGTTATTCCTTGAATTTGGGATGTCATAGTGAACAAAGAGGTGTTTCCTTGAGTCTTCTGTGCCTGTTGAAATGGCTGTCAACTCTGATTGCTGTAATGACATAGGAGATTTTTTGAATGTAGTTAATTTCTGAAGGTTGCATCCTTCCTTGATAGTGTCTTTAGGATTCTGAATCCCGGAAGCCTGCAATTTCTTTTCTGAATAAACAATGGGCACAACACTATTTAGTTGCAGTTCGAAGTGATTCTCGATGAAATTTTGAGAGCGATCCTTAGTTTTCCATTTAGTAACTGTTGCAGTGAGATCACCGATAGCATTAGTTTCTTGACATGAGGTGCTCACGATTCAATTTTCAATGATCTTTCTCTGGAATGATGAAAGTAAGGGGTAGAGTAAGCGCTGATTAAAAATAGTCTTATTGGAAGGTAAGTCTGTCATGATGTGTTCATAGTAATGAATTATGCAATTCACAGTTTCCAGATTACTAAGAGCCTGTTTGGATTGGCTTATTTTAGGTGCTTTTAAGCACTTTTGAAGTGTTTGGATAAAAATAAAAAGTGCTTTTAAGCACTTGTTTTTAAGTCAAAATAACAAAAATAAATCAAAAGCCATAAGTTAGAAATCCTAACTTATGGCTTTTGGCTTTTAAGCCAAAAGCAATAAGCCAATCCAAACAGGCCCTAAGTCTTTATGCACAGAATTATGGGTGACAATACTTTTGGTTAATTCTCAAAAAAACTTTTGCAACATCCAAAAAAAAAGATTGACAATAGATTGTGATGCTTGTCTTTGTGTGTATTTGACAAGTTTTATTTGTAACAAATTTAATGTGTACTCTGTGATGAGAGTTCTGAAGGAAAATAGACAAAGGAGGAATACCCTGTTGGCAAGGGCCCTTCACAAGATTTTGAGGGTTTGAGTCACTAATGGAGCAAAGTGAAAAAGGCCCACTGTTAATCTCCTCTGTAAGGGGGTCCGAGGGAGGGCGGGGGATGATGGGTTACCATATTCAACAGAAAAAGGAGGAAATCTTGAAGTTATCAAGGCTTTTGATGCTTGAGTTTTTCTTTCACCGATCACTGTACCACATGTTGCTGGCTTACTACTGTACTCCACATAATTTGATTATTAATTACACTAAATCTATTTGAACATTGTTTACACCTATTGGTATAACTGGTGTTCTAATTTGGTAATGCTTGTATTATGTCTATTCGTGGATTATATTGTATCTGACTTTCTCATTCCTATCACAGAATCTTTTCCAAATATGGCTGCATCTTCTTCTTCTTCTCGGTTGGTTCGTGGTAAGGGGCTTTACTTGCTTTGATTGCTAATATGGAGCGGTATGATATTCATTTGTGTGAGATGGAACTTGTGACTCTCATTCTTTTTCAATGATAATATGTTAAAATGCCAATGATATTCTCTCCTCCCCCTGCCTCATGGGAAAAGGTGATGTTTCAGGCAGATAAACTAATGAAAAAAGAAGTGTGTAAACAAATAAGAGTAAGTTTTAGGGGTTACAGGCCGAGATACTCCATTTTTTGATCCGCAGAGAGGTAGTTTTTCATGTACATGTTCTAGTTATTCTCCACACAACAAACTCATTTTATATTTCTTGCACGGAGCAGCTCATAAACAGGAACTACATGTTTTGTCTCTAGTGATATAATGTATTACCTCCCCCCCCCCCCCCCAATTTTTATGGCACTTTCTGTATCCTGAGAGTAGACTAATCTTCAATTGGATTAGATCAACTCAATATTTTATAATTTAGATTCGCAAACTATACGAAAAGTACCACAAATTGCAATTCTTCTCATGTCAACATTACAAAAAAAATACATTTTAAAGTGTTGGTCAAAGTTTACATAGTTTGGATGTCGAAAAGCAAAAAGGGCCACCATATAAATTGGGTAAGAGGGAGTAGTTACGTGTCGGACTATTTTTCCCTTTTTCTTTCTCTGAAATTTTTCCATTGGAAAAGGAGAAACGATTAAGTAGTGCCTTCGTCACTATTAACGACTAATCTACTCATTCAGTGGGGTTTGGTATCAAAATCTTTGAGCAGTGAATGTCATCTTCATTCTTTACAGCATAGCAAGTAGAACTTAGATTTATAGTTGTAAAGGGTGGGTTTTACCCATTTACTGTTAAGTCTGGATCATTGGAGATTTATTCTCTTGTGTGAATAAGACTTCTGCTGAATCAATTTGCTCCATTCCAAGCTGTATACCCTCATTGTCCTAAATGATGTTTATGGACTCGTTTTTTCTACTTGATACAGCTTTTCTTGCTTGTTTCTTTTTAATGTTCTTAAAGGAAAAAAAATTAACTGATACTTGGTCTCAAAGTTGGAGTGTGAAACTACTACACCTATAAGCTTATTTAATCATTTTTAAGTTGAACATGATAATTCAACTTGGAAAAAGGACGTAGTGTGATTTTTATCAGCCATAGAGTCACCAACAAATTTTGCACTTAGACAACTTTGCAGAAATGGTTAATTGGTTATCCAATATTGATGGTTTTATGTGCATTACGAAGCCCGTTAGCAACTGCAACTGGATACTATGTTCCCTGTACCAGCTCATTGAATCCACTGCCTTCCTATGCTATCCACATTTCCTAATCATCAGCTCTTCCTTATTTCCTTGTCTGTATGCATGGCCTGTGCTTAAATTTTTTTATGTTGAAACTGCAGCAGTGGGTCGTTCATTGTTCAGTGGTCTTTGCAACAATGCTGATGGTTTAATGAGATCAACACACGAGATGATGTGCAATCATTTGTTATTCCAGGTTCGTCTGCTATGCTGTTTAATTCTCTCACCCCCAATACCCTAATCTTTTTCCGGTTTGTGCAATCTTAATCAGTCATTGAGCATGAAATTTGGATGTTGCGTGCATTTTGTCAACGCATGATATTTTATAATATAATATCGCAAGCTACATCATTCATAAATCATACCTCACATTATGATAAGCCCTTCTTACTGATCAAAAATTTCAAATGCTTAATTTTTATTAAAGGAAGCAACTTAACAACATCACATGGCTGAGTTGCTATGAAAAAGGTCTTGAAACTTATGAGTCGACTCTGCTAATTGAGTAGTAGTTGAATTGTCTCTTGTTACAATGATTGTATAGTTTTTTCACTTGTTTTTGGTCCTTTCAGCAACAAAGAACTTTCATACAAATGAGGACGAGTCTGAAAGTGGTAGACAATTCAGGTGCAAAGAGAGTTGCATGCATCCAAGCACTAAAGGGAAAGAAAGGAGCAAGATTAGGAGACACAATAGTTTGCTCAGTGAAGGAAGCTCAGCCAGGTGGTAAGGTGAAGAAAGGAGAAGTGCATTATGGTGTTGTTGTCCGTGCTGCTATGCCAAAGGGCCGCTGTGATGGGAGTGAAGTAAAGTTTGATGACAATGCCGTGGTACTCATCAACAAGCATGGTGAACCCATTGGAACCAGAGTTTTTGGTCCAGTGCCCCATGAGTTGAGGAAAAAGAAGCATGTTAAAATTCTTAGTCTTGCAGAGCATATCGCCTAATGTTTCAGCCTCTTGATTGTTAGGTACCTCTACTCAATGATTATTCAGTCGCGCGAGCCGATTGTTAGACAGTTTTGAATTTATTGTATTTGGAGGAAACTTGTTGTTGTCCACAAGCTGCAGAAGATGTTTTTTTAATCATCATAAACGTTTTGACTTGTACATATAATTGTTGGCCCACAAGGCACAGTGCTGTTTCTGCAACCAGTGCTCAAGGCACAATGTCCACAAACTGACTTGAAATAAATATATCACTAACACAATTATTGGACCCTTTTAGTGTCATTGTTGGAGTGATGGGCTTATGCTTCTCACTTTTTCAAAGAAAATATCATTTTCTTCTGTTCATTTTTTAAGTGGCCAGCAGATCATAATTCTTCTGTTCATTTTATAAGTGGCCAGAAGATCATAATTCCTCTCATTTTTAGTAACTATCCTCTAATAATAATGCATGCACTTGAATCTACCGTTAGGTGATCGACACCAATGGAATTGGGCGTCGCGTCCTTGTAGCTTACTGTGCTATTCATGGAAACTTGTTTTATACCTTTAGGCCTAAAATGGTTAATGAAATTGGGCAAGTTTAGCGATGGGATGTTCAACTCCCATTGACTCATGTATCTCACGTTATATACCTGAATAATCCTAACAGCTTTGTATGATTTTTGAATTATATATTTCGTATATTTTGTTTTATATTTATAGTATGAAATTTCAAAGCAAGAGTGTTTAACTGATCAACTTTTACTATATGTGGCTACGCTACTGGTCACAAGTTTTGTCTAATTGAAGTAGGTAAAGAAACTTAATTTCATGATTGTCCAAATTCTTTTCGTGTTGCAAAATAAGTAGTTGAGGTTCAGATGATCCAACTCATGAATATGGTACAGGGCAGGCCATATTTTACATTTTATAGTGGCACATTCATTTTTCTTGGTACATACTGTGCCCCTCTTTCTCTCTGTTTCTGTCTTTTAACTCAGTAGCAAATTATAAAATGGCATCACTAGTGTTGATGCTGGAAGCACTTATCAGATCTCGCGAGGACATCTATCTGCAAGGACAAGACGATGGGCTGCTTCTCAATGCTGAAGAAACAGGCGATAATAATAGTAACACGAATTTGGTTACTCGAAACAAGGATTATTACTCTTACTATTACTGTGGCTGGATAGTTGAAGCTGAGGATGTTCCTAGCTGGAACATTATATCTTAATTAGTGTTGTATTTGACCCATATAAAGAAATCCTAGAAAGAGGGCTAAACAGGCATTTCCAAGTGTATATAGTGCTAGTACGCTTTTATGTAAGTTGTTTCTTTATCCCTGGTCTGATATCTGGTCAAGAAATGGAAGTTGGATCCTAGTGTTCAACTTAGTCCATAAATCCCTGCAGCAAACATGTAAGCAGGGCCATATTTATGATATGATCAATTTAAATGTGATGTTAATTGGAAGCGCGAAACATTATGTCAACCGTATATGTCTAGTGTGTACATCAAATATTATGCGAATAGCAGGGGACTTGAGCCTGAGGCTAACATTTTGGTGAAACTAATCGAACTATAAGCTACACAATGTATTCTTCATTCATATTAATCAAAGAAAGTAACAACTTGTTCTGCTTTTGGCATGCAACATCAACAAAGGAAAGGTGGAATGGGGTTAGATAAGAAAGTTCATACTTAAGATGCACAATCTAGGTACATATATAAGGTGCATCTTTTACAATGAAACGTGGTACATATGTTCGTAATAAATTTGTTATTCGTCACAACAACAACAACAAGAAAGACGTGAAAGGGTGTATATAAGCAATAAAGTTGATTCTTGAGTTGGAACTAATAGGGATGCATAAGCCAAGAATTGCCATCAACATAATAGGTCTCAATAAAAGGCATGGCCTCTTCATCGTTGAGTATTCGTGCCCACGGAACTCTTCCTGTCATGTTGGCTCCTGGTCCACTGCACCTGTACTCCCCATAATACACTCTCCTACATCCATTTTTTCAACTTCATTGCCAAAACAATTTTGAAACTATAAAAGAACAGTAAAAACCAAAAGACTTACGAGTCTCTAATTGTTTTGCCCCAATCATTCCATCCTAGTGGAAGAACAATGTTGTCCATGTAAGTGTAAGAGAAAATCACTCTAGAATAATCACCCCACGCTCTGCCTAAATAAACTGATCCTGTCCCTGTTATGGTGCTGTTCTTGAACGAGAATCCACTTAATATCGACGAATTTGTACGTTTTTGGGCTGTCAGGGACGCTACTTTCTTTGCCACTGAGTTCAACTGGCAGTTCTATCCACATAATATAAAAATGTAAGTAGATTTGGGACAACTGACAGCTCAGTACACAAAGCATCTCACGTTCACATAGGGTACATGAAAGAAATGTAACTTTTCATGACAGTAGAGAAGGACAATGTCTATATAAGTTAATTAAAATGCAACTGACCTCATATAGGGATCTACCATAGCCAAAGATGAAATCAACAGAGCCTTGAATGAAGCAATTGTTAAAATAGTGAAGTCCCTTGTGATCATAAAGTGTGTCTTGGCTTCCATAGAAACTGCAGTTGTAAAATGCTGCTTTGTTCCCTGATATTCTTAGTGCCACTGCTTGTTCTCCTGCCGTTCCAACCACATGGGGTGCTGTATTCTGCAAAACCAAAGTGTTACCTCCAACCTTAGTGACGGATTTAGGATTGAACGTCATATATTCAATTTTTAGGTTCTTATCGTTGAATTCATTGAATTTTTAAAATTTGATGGATTCCTACGATCCGTATAAAATAAATTGATTTTAATTGAACCATTCGTAACTTGTTATCTACCTCCATCGTCAACAGTAGTAGAGCTAGAAATTTTAATAAAGGAATTCATGTCGTGACCCTAAGTAAGTTTTGAATTACCTTTGCCGCTACAATAAAAAAATATTTTTATCACACTGTGCGGCACTGATGATTTCATTAATAAGAATACTAGTTACTCCGTGATTGTTATATCCAGTGGCGGGGCTAGGATTTTTAACAAGAGGTTCAAAATTTGAAGAAGTAAACACATGAACTAATCGAAGGGGTTTCAACATCTTCTACATATACATAAAAAAGAAATTAACCATGTATAAATAGTAATATTTTCTACCGAAGGAGGTTTGAATGAACCCTGAAGGTATGCTGGCTCCGCCCCTTATAGCACTCCTATTACAAGTACTGACGATTTAGTACGTCCTCTGTTTAATGAAGAAAAGAGGACAATTTTAAAAAAAATGAATGATTTTTTTCATATTTAGTACAGTAAGTTTTTAATTTGAACATTCTACATAGCAAGTTTAAGACCATAAGATTGAAAAGTCTCCTTTTATTTTGTAACTGTATGCCCAGTCAAACTAAGACATTTAAATTGAAATGGTGAGAGTAATTTAATTTTAAAAGCTGGTGACAGTATATGTTAATGCTTCTTCATTTTTTTGCTTTATCTATTGGAATAATTTGTATGGCAGTAGAATTTAGGCTTCAACTACGAACTTGTAAAAACTCCATGTGACATACAAAGTTCAACTAGAATACTGTCACGGATCTATGTCATACGGAGGAAATGTGTTGGTGCATGTACCTTAAATTCGTATTTTAATCTTATGGATATTTCGTCTAATGAACAACTTATAGAAAAATCCATTTGACAAGATCACAAGATTAATATAGAAATTTACCTCAAAAATGACATTTATGGCGATAAAATAATCGGCATCGACAGAAACAGTAGCACTTTGGAATGTCTTTAAAGGCGTGCCACCGGTTCCAGTAGCTGAAGCTGTGTCATTTCCTGTAATCCGTGGCGGATTGCTACTATCGCCCCGAAATGTCACAAACGGCAAACTTCTTGGAATGTTAATCTTTTCCCTACAATTTCACTTATTGTCGTCACAATAATATTACTACTTCTACTAAAGTTTTATCTAAGTCATCATTGTCGTACCCGTTAATCGTTATACCCCACCCCCCTAAAAAGAAATAAAATACTCAAAGGTAGTAAATATAGTTTTTAATTTTATATATAGTGAAGATTTTATCCACTAAATGTAGTTAAATACCTTATCTTATACACGTGTAAGAGATTTTTTCGCAATCAATATACTTTTAGTGGCCATAAAGGCACTTATTATATTTTAAAGGTACAAATCCATGTTTGCTATAAAAAAAGAAGTTATTTGCAATTGACTTTATATATATATATATAAAAGTTAAACTCTTTTTAGATTATTAATCCGGGTTTATTATTTAGCATATGTACCTCATTATAGTGTAATTGATTTTTAGTGAAGGAATGTCAATTGACATGCCTTAGCATAAGGTGTCTCTACTACTATATCCTAATATGTTGAGTAAGTAATTAATTTGATTGCGTAAATATTTTTTATACTATCATTATGTAATAATAATGAGGTACATACCTATAAACTCCGGGTTTGATGTCCAGTATGACCCTGCGCTTGTTATAGAGTGGAATGCTAGCAAGAGCTTCCTTGATGGTGTTGAAATTGCCACTTCCATCTTGACTCACACTGATTATCATTTTGTTCATCTCTGCGTATATAAGTTTTGGATCTAAGCTGCTACTAACAGGAGCTGGAGGAGCATGTTGTTTTTTGTGTTTGATTGATTCTTGCATCCATTTCAAACTTGTTTCTCTCTTTCTACTATTGTAGTGTTTCACATTCAAAGATATCCATTCATCAAAATTCTCATTGTCTTTTTCTTGTGAAGTCAATGACATGAGTAGCATGGAAAGGAAGAACAATAATACAATAAGTGTGGAAGCTGATGCCATTGAGTTACAATGGGTACGGTGGAAGAATAAATAACTATAATTATCCAATATTAAGCACTATATATCTTTGTGTTTGCATGATCACAATTCACATGCATATATATATATATTTTGATAAAAGAAAAAGGTATTGTGGTTAGGTTTGGTCCTATCTTGACCTGTATTTACAAAAATGGCCATCACTATAGTATATTGGGAAAAGGGTCTAATATATTCCTCAACTTTGCTATTTAGAATTGATATATTCGTCATTATGAAAATGACTCATATATACCTCTACTGTTATACAAATGGATCATATATACTCTTTTCCTTTAACGGTAAGGATTTATATGAGTCACTTTCATAACAAGAGGGTATATCAGTTCTAAATGGCAAAGTTGAGGGGTATATCGTAAATAAGGGTCAAATTAAATTAGTTAATATAGATTTAT